CAATAAATCCGAAGTTCCATCAGTCATTTAATTCCAAGCCTTGTCAATTCATTACCACTTACCCCAGTATGTCGAGGTGATATGTCACCAATGGTTCCAGTACTTCTATATCCTCGTCTGTGCCGCTTGGCTGAAATTCCTCAATATATCTGCCCAGATACTCAAAATGCATATTGACAACGTGTACGAGAGTTATTAGTAACAAATCGGCACCCAAAAACAAGAACGAGACACAATATGAGCCACAGCATTGCATTAAATATGAAAATAAGTAGAAAATTGGCTTCTTCTCGTCGTAATAATACCACATCATGAAGGGAAATCTATAATTGAATTCCTGCTCCTTATCCTTACGCCATATGTACTCCACAGTCGATGAGACGATCGGATGTAAATTGAACAGACTCGTCGTACCGAGATGCCAGATTGTCAAATATTTGTTGTAGGCAGTAATTTTCTGATAGTAAGGCACCAAGCGAAAGGCATGACGTTGCTCTGGCGTCTTCGGATGCCTTGCCATTAAGCCTTTAATTACGAATTCCAATTTATGTCGTCCGACCCACAATGTACCACCCTTCATGAAAGAATTTAGTGCAAATCCCCAATAGATGGTGAGCGCAGTGTAATCTAAAGCACTTTCCAAGTGGCCGAAGAAGAAAAACAGTATCATGGCAATAACATTAAACAATATAATCATGCAGAAATTGCGCAGGAGTATTTTTTGTTTTCGTGATGGTGGCTCATCTGGTGTCCATTTGAAAAGTTTCTCACCATTCAGACTTAGCAGAAATAGAGGTATTTTCACGAAATCCGCTATGGTAGGTGCTATTTCAGCCGATTCGAAAAGTGAAGGCATGGCCGCGAGCTGGCACGAAATCCATAAATGCTAAGCGGAATAGTTTTGAAGTGAAAATGTTTGTAAACAAAAGCTTGGTACCCTTTTTATAAGTATGCAACGCTGTACAAGGGCGGCGCTCAAAGAGGGGCGTGTGAAAAGCAATGTAAAGCTTTAAGGAAACTAAGCTTGATGTGCATAAAAGACAATGGATTTTTTTTTTTATTAAAGGCCATATGGCGGATGCCTAGCCGTAAAACTGCACTTGCGACTAGACAAAGCATCGACAGAGAGGAGACTCTAGGAGCCAAAATTCTTGTACTGATTATATGATGTATTAATCGATATATATACCTACGGCCTGGAGGGATCTAGCTGCGGATTTCTCGTTAGATATTGTGTGTCCATTACAAGCCTCCCCTGCTAAAGATGGTACTACACCTCTGAAAAATAAGCATGCAATTGCGATGGATATCTACTTGCTGGGAACCATTTTTATTTATTTATTTTTTTTCAAAATTAGAATAATTTCGCATTGCATGGAAAGTGCGACAGTTGTTTGTTTGCAAACAATTATTTCTCTAATGCAAGGAAATTAAGTAATTATATTCGTAATGTGACGAATTAAAAAATATTTCGTATTATAAAAAAATGATATATCTACGGGTAATATAATTGTTGGAATTTACAGATAGCCTTGGATTTGTAGGTATTTTCTTTGGAAATAAGCTACAGGGTTGCACCTGTGCTTAATTTTTGGTGTGTTAAATTTCCGTAATTCCGTTTTTAATTTTGATTTTCATGTATGAGTCGCCTATGCTCGCGCCTCGGTAGTTCATCCTCTGTTTCATATAAGGGCAACTCCGAATTGATCATAAATTGAGGCCAACTGTCTCGTACATACAGCCCACAACAAGTTGTGATCCGACTGTGGGAGACTTTTTTTGAATTCTTGCCTGGCTATCTGGGAGTTTGTTTACTTGCGTATTATTTCATGTACTACCTTACGCCTCCTTAATTGCTGGCAGTGATACTTACACTGAATATCCGCACTTTGTTTCAAAGGACAGTCTCTTTCATCGAGGTGCTTACCTTTGACTGTATTTATTTTTCTAAAAATCTTTTTTAATTAAATTAATTAAGTAACTAATACGCAGTGTGGATAAAAACTTAGCAATTGCATTTTCTTAAAAATTCAGATCTTTTATTTGAACTTAAGTATGTATTCAAATAAATCGACTAAAAGTTCTGAAATTTCAAGAAAAATCCATTGCTTAGGTTTTATTCATTACTTTGTCGAGGCAAGTTCCTTCACTATTCTTATTGAGTAAAGAAGAAAAAATAGAAAATGAGGATTTTGCAAAGCTTATTTTGCTCTATAGGTAGGCAGAAAGTCACCATAGGTTAGGCTAAGCAACTCTCCATAGAGAATGTAGAGAGCCCTGGTTCTGCTTAAAGGCCCATTGTGATACAACTGGCGTGACCTGCTATGTGCCCCATCTACTTTCGCGTTTAAAGGATTATCTATCTTCTCATTCACAGCAGAAACAAAATTTTTTGAATAGGTGATTGACAGATTGAACCTCAATCATAGCGGTTTCATTTGTCATTTTCTACAAAGGCTGCAAAACTCAAGGATACTTAATCCGCTGAGAAATCGTAAAAGAGATATTTCAGGGCAGTGAAAAA